AAGAAGAGAGAGAGAGAGAGAGAGTGTGTGTGTGTGTGTGTGTGTGTGTGTGTGTGTGTGTGTGTGTGTGTGTGTGTGTGTGTGATTTCTATGAGTGAAGTGTTAACACAGCATGGTCTGCCATGCAACGCCACATGCTACAACTACTTTTCATGAACTGTACCCTAAAAATTCAACATGTACAGTGAATGAACATCCTCAGACTTTCTTCCACTTGAGATCTTGTTGACTATAGGCCAGTGACTGCTAGACAACTAAAGAAATGTTTTATTTCTGCAGCTTAATAGCTATCCTGCTTGCCAATCTCAAAGTTTTCCCACCATAGGAGTCAAATGGCTAAACAGGCACAAATCTGTACTTGTTTAACTTATTTTTCATTGTACATGCATTCTGCACCAGTTCAATTCTGTATTTCTTCAAAAGCATTATTTAGAATTTAAACTAGATTTGAAATCAACTTCAACTGAAGTTTTTTTCTGGGACAAAGAGGTACAGATGAGATTCTACCTTTGCCTTCCCCATAATGCCACTAACTTTGTTCATTTTTCAGAAGCAAGTAGAAGTAAATACCCCACACATGACCCGGCTCTCCGGCCTTGCATAATAGCAGTCTGACCCTTTGCATTGTAGCCCAGTATCCTGCCAATAAATTGCAATCTCAACTTTTTAAAGTCGTCAATCTTATAATGATTAAGTTTCCGCCAAAGAGTTTATTACAAGAAATTTGTATACAAGTTCCATCTACAATTTCTTGAAATTAAGTTCTCTGCTTTTACAAACCACATTAGACTTTTCTATACCTCATGAGGAATGAAATTAAATCTGGGAAGTGGTTTAAGTGTTATGAAAGCCCCTTTACTGAGAAGGTTAACATATCTTTTAAAACTAGATTAGTTATTTGTCCTAATTACTTTTAACCTGCACCATAACATGTTGGAAAGGATAGGAGAGGATTTTTTTTTTAATCCAACTGGTTTAAATGTGATCCAGTTGAGACTACGTCATTTGTTTCTTAATTTTTAATGTAATACTTGGATACCATATTTTGTTTTGCGTTTAGGAGGTTCCATTCAAGAAACTTTGGATATATGTTTATTATTATTAACCACTCATTTCAAATACATTTTTTAAAAACTTTGTCTACACCACGCAGCTTTTAGCGACATTCCTGTGCCACTACAGCTGTGCCGCTAAAGGTCATGCAATGAGCGACTCCCGCCAACAAAGCACTGTTCACACTGGCGCTTTTCATCGGTAAAACTTCTGCTGTTCGGGCTGTGTGTGTTTGTTTAACACTGCTAAACGACAAAAGTTTTGCCAACGAAGTTCCAGTGTAGACAGCTAAAAGCTAAAACTATTAGTCTTTTTTCGTCTAACTGATCCAGGAAGCAACTTGAGGCTACAAGGTGGTACCACAACTGATCTTTAATGCTTCTTATAGCACTATTACTATCAGCGATTCTCATAGTACGATTACTGTGCATTACATATGCTTAAACACTCACACAAGTTATTTTCTTTGTTTCAGACAGACAGACCAAGTGAAGTTACTTCAAGTTTTATTTTAAGAGGAAAAAAGGGAAGTTACCTTTTGGGGCCATATATTTGCTCCGGAGGTGGCTTCCTCCAGGGGAACGTACTTAACATGCAAGACTACAGATGGCAGGCAGCAGGACTCTCAGGAAAGGCATCCAATTTGTATTGGAATCATGAAAGACAGCTTTTATCACACAACAGGAAGCCATACAGAGATACCAGATATCAACACCGATTGACTTAAGTTTTGAGTCATGAGGCAAGCCATCTCGTGCAGCTTATTGGGAAGTAGATACAGTGCCTTACTTCATTAGGGCATGGTAAATTTGATGATTGAAATGATACTCCCAGTGTTTTCCATCCCAATTTTTAATGTAATATCAACTTGATATAATTTTATTCAAATAGCCAGTTTTTTTGCGTCTTTGCTTTACACACGTCCCCAACTCACACGGAGGAGGAAGGCTAGACAACAGGTGCTTGCAATGTCTTACACTAAGCCCAAGAAACTCAATATCACAATCACCTGTCACAGAAGTTATTCCATTTATAAAAATAAGTGGATTTATCCTAAAGCATTGGTAACTGCTCAGACTTCAGAGGAACAATAATTCTTTACTTGTACTTTCCCACCCCAATTGCTACTACTCCCCTTTCCTTAGGAGTGATCAACTATATAAGACCAATATTTTTCTTTACAACATCCACATGTCTGAATCCATATGTCTAAGGCATCAGTATGGGACATATTTCAATAGCAGTCATTTCTAACTACATAGAATGTGCATTAGTCATGTACTGAAGCCAGACAAACTAGTAGCAATTAAAGGGCCTTGTTTCCACTAGGTCGTAAGCCAGTAACACTCTTCAAAACTCTCCTTTATTAAAATATAAATTGTGTACTTAAATGGAAAAATGCATCTTTCGTTTTCATGAACACTCACCTGGTCCATGTAAATTCCATGGGCAGTGGATTTGCATCAGCATTACACCGGAGCTGAACATGCTCTCTTCCAATGAACCAGTTTCCATCATATCCAGTTACTGAAACTTCAGGGGCATCTATAAAATATGAGTCATTTCACATTCCAATATTCAGAGTACATTACTTAAAAGGAGACATGCATTGCTTAGAATGAGATGTCTGCATGTTGTATTTAACTAACAGTATGGCAGTGCTTAATATCCAATGAGCAATGGTAGTCCTACCTGAAAAGTTTAGTAAATTACATGTACACATGGGTTGTTGGCATCAGAGGCTTAACATAAAGCAAATCAGTGGGTCCCATAAGTTTTTAGTTTGTTAACTGAAACGAGCGGAGATAATTCTATAGTCTTTACATCAACAATACCAATTTTTAGCATAATGCAGTGCTAACTTCAATAGTTCAAATATACCAAATTCTGTGAATTCAAAAAAATTCATATTATACGGTGGTAAATGATGAATTGCACATACAACATGAGTAACTTCTGGCTAATGATTTATACTGTAGTAGGTATCGGCACTGTGCCTATGTTAATACTGCTAGTCAAACCAACAAGGAACATTAGCGTATTCTATATTTAATTTTTTTTTATTTCTTTTCAAAGGACTCAAAAAGCAATTAATAGTGATAATGGCTCCAATCTGAATCCCATCTTCCCAACTTCTTTCAACCCCTCAGTACGGCAGTCTTGCCCACAGAATCTCACACTAACCCAGCTGTAGAAAATGTCTGACAGTTTTAAATACACACTTATTGGAAGGCTTCAACTGGTGTGCTTGGGGCAAATTCACAGTATTCTACAACACAATGTAACCATTCAAATATAACTGACACACCAATTGAAAGGTCTGCTATAGTAAAAAGTAAAGGTATGGTACACTTAAGTAATCTGAGGTCAAAATTCAGAGTAGGATAGTTGCTCTCAGTCCAGGACAGCAGGCTCAACTACTTCCTCCAAATGCAGGTGGCACAAAGGTTGAAAAGGAGAGCAAGGCTTGAAATCTCTCTCTCTCGCTCTCCTCACTGAAGCCACATCTTTCCAACTCTTATATAGTTTAGTGTTATTAATGTATGTTTGAGGCATATTATGGATATTGGTTATTGCTACTGGGTTCGGCCAGAAAGGTTACATTACAGAGACTGGCAATTTCCTATTAGGCCGGTCTCTCTTCAGCTATTGTTATCAATAATGTAAGAATGCAGCTTTTTTCTCTCCAGACTGCGCACTATTGCAAATGACATGTAGGGAGTAGCAGTTTAAAAACTGGCAGTCTTCCTCAACAGGACTGCCTTAATAGTTAGTTAATCTTCATTTTATATTTACACACAAAAAAAACAATTTATGATAATGTGCTTCCTTATTCACGTATCAGGGCACAAGGCCTGGATGGAGTATTAACAGTTCTCACAATTTGCAGCTTATTCTTATATTTATTTATCACTACTCCAGTACAATACTCTACTCGGTTCAAGTGTAGAGATTCAGAACTCAGTTGAAGACTGTTAGTATACGTTGAAACCAAGCACTAAGCAGAACTCCTTCTCTATTCATGCTCAACACAGTTTTAAAGAACACTAGGCAAGTTCTCATGAGTATGAAGTCCCGTATCTTTTTATAATTTGTTCTGGAAGGTGTTAATGTTTCTTCATTTCTAACTAATACTGGGGAAAAGATGTGTAACATAGTCTAAAGTTCTTTCCAAATTCAATTACAGACATTAAAACCAGCCAATCCTCCAATACAGATTGTTCTAAAATTGTTAAAAGTTCATTGATTGAATAGAACATACTTGTCTTTCAAAAATGTTCTTTACAATTCTTACAAGTTTTTAATAGTGGGTTTACTTGATAGGATACTGTAAGGCTCTGTTAAAGGAGGTTGTGTATTACTTGGAATAGGTCATAATTTTAGTCTTTTAATACCATTTCAAATGTTTCCTGATTCCATGTTAACAATTTTACTATCAATAGCATTCTCAGACCGTACGTTTATTTATTATGGTATTGCCCCAAGATAAATGAAGCCAAAAAATCAACAGTTGTTTAAATTTACTGAAAATTCTCTTTTCGTCATGTGTTTATGCCACCAACTAGTAACTGATGGTAAATATTTAATTTTTTGATAGAACAGATTACAGCAAGGGACCTGATGTTCAGTAAGGAGAGAAAGTATTTTTAAAATATTTTTACCACTCAGTTGCTTTTCTGAAGTAGTAATTACGTTACTCTAACCCATCAATAGATGTAAACTACAACCTTTTCTATTCTGAGATCTACATCTTACACTTCCTTTCCCCCTTTCCTGCACACCCAGTAGTGTGTTATAGTTTGTGTTTGAAAATGGATGCCTAAAGCTAACATTTTGAATCCTTAGGAACCCACATTTTTCTGGACTTCTGAAAATTCGGGTCATATATTTGATAGCCCAACTTTAGGCATCCATTTTGGGTTATGTGGACTAAAGTTTGTAACAGCACATCAAAATGACCAACATAGCATACAATGTAAAGTTTTAAGAAATTCAACTTATTTATGGCAAGTTATAAGTTACTCTTCAATGGGGAGAAACTGACTGGAATTTATTTTGGGGGCAACTCATGTTAAAGTCAGCAGGCCATCGAGCACAGCACTATTAGTGGTCAATCTAGGGAGATATGTTAAGGCCACGTCTTCAAACTGCAGTTTGGACTAGGGGAGTGTGAAAAGGACTGCATGCCAAGTGCTGTACTTCAACTCCCCTGCATGGATGCTGTGGGTGTGAACTAAGAGATTCCTTAAATTCACACTAATGTAGTCCTGTTTTAAGAACCTCTTAGTTCACACCCACAGTATCCACATGGGGGAGTTGCAGCTCAGCACTTGGTGTGCAATGATATTCACACTCCCACCATCCAAACTGCAAGGCATTGTAAACAAGCCCTACATTTGTTAGGGCTTTAAACTGTGACCGTCAAGACAGTTTGTCAAGTAGCCAGAAGTTCAACAGCAAAGGGCTAGAAAGAGGTCTTTTATTGTTTTATTTGTTAATGAACTGAAATTTAAGTAGTACATGTGCCATAATTTTTGCTTGTGATATGCTAACAATAGTAAAGATGCAGAATCCAAAACAATCTGGTCATACACAGAAACTTATTTGCTGCAATAAAGACACAAACATTGCTAACAGATGAAAGCGCTGCAAATTTCTACAGCTGAGATAGAAGGTGCAGTTATGAAATTATGAAGATTACTATTAGGGTCAAATAATGAGGAGGGCTTGGTAATTTATCATCTTCTGTCACTTGTTTCTTTTAGGGACGTCAAGTTTAACAAACCAAAAAAAAATACTATATTGAGAAAGAAAATAAACTTCCAAGTGGAGGGATTCTCAAATTATCCACACTATCTCTAACACTCTCAGTAGTGTAGTGAGTGATCTGGTTAAGCATAGTTACCCCAGAACATTTTTCATCACTGAAGTTCTTTGGGAATATCATGACTTGTATTATTCCAAGTGTGAAAGAAATGGCAACCACCATTTCAAGTATTTTTAAATACCTCAATTCTTGTTGAATGGGAAAATAGATTTTGCTTATAACAAGTCCCTGTAAAGCTTAAGAGGAGAAATTGAATTTTCAGCTTCAACATCTGAGTATTAGTCACATTTGTTAAAAAATAAGGGTCCATGAAGAAACATAGGAGGAATATAAATGGATAATTAAATCAAGTTAATTAAAAGTTAAGCAGCAATGTGTCTCAGCAAGTAGGGCAACCGATTGCGTCTCAGGAGACCTGGGTTCTACTCCCAGCTCAGCTAGTGGCCTGCTGCAAGTCCTTGGTCAACTCACTTCACTTCTCCCTAGCTCTGTTTCTCCCATATGTGTGATGGGGCAATGAGACTGACCATTCTTTGTACACTGCTTGCCGATCTACTGATGGAACGTACTATAAGGCCTAGTTGTAATATGACAGAATAGCAGCTGTAAAAGCAATAGTTAACTTGTTGTTTACTTACATAGTACGTCCAATGTGTAAGGATATCTCAGCTCCTTTTCCAAAGCCGGATGCCTCACAACACAAGTTATGCGTCTTCCTCTGGCAAATTTGGTGGGTATGAGTTTGTACTGACTGACAACCGTCACAGTTTCATTTGGAAATAAAGTAGAACTGGATTCCATTTCTCCAAGACCTCCTTCCCAATCAATATCTGCAGCAGGTTTTCCAGTGGCTGCTGTACAAATGGCTGCTATTGTCTGATTTTCACCATCTATTAAAGAGTTTGGTCCCTTTGTTAGGCTCACAATGGGTTCAACTATTGAAATTAAAAAAATAAGTATGTTTTCAGTCAAGACAGAAAAGTTTCATTAACCTCACTTCAACTGCTGTATGTACATTTTATCCCCAATAGCTTACAGCTACTAACTCATTTTCAAGGCAGATTTGTTAACCAGCAGGTAAAGTTGATGACACAATGGATACTTAAAAGTAATCTGAACAATTGACAGCTCTGACATCCCTGTGCTGCACATTGCCAGGATGGACTGTTTAAAATCAAAGTGATATAAGTCACATTTTAATCAGCAAGCAAGAACTCTTGTTTTAAATCATTTATTTTAATCTAGCTTTGTATCTGTACTTTATTCCCCCCCCCCCCCAAGGTAAGCTTGATGCTCATTCGTTGGTAACCATTAAAACATGTGAACTGCAACTAAATATAGCCTTTAGGCTACATTTGGTGGGATTGGTTTTACTAACCAGGAAGAGACACTATATTTTACATATTTACTTAAGCAATTCTGTAGTTTAACTTACACTTATTCAGATTTTTTTATAAATATCATAGAAATGTATGATGCACTTATTTACAACTACACATCTCCAGTGTGGTCTTAGAACCCAAATCTTCTTTGTTGTGTACCTTAAGCGCTATCACCTAACTAGTTTCATAGATACCAGGGTGGGTTTTTTGTTTGTTTAGGTTTTGTTTGTTTGTGGTTAAAGAGAAAGTAGTACTAAAGATTCTTGCTCCACAAGCTATTAAACAAATATGTCCGTTATGTCCTTCAGCCTACTTTCTTTGGTAGTTAACAGTGTGACTTGCAGCATTATGCTCTGGCCATAAAACATTCTTTTCACTTTTCTTCATTTTTCTTTTTTTTTAAATATAGCTATCAAGATAATCAACATGCAAAAACTCAACATCGGGAAAGACCTGAGAGATGCCCAACAATCAATGACATCCAGGAGGTTGAACTGGTATACATTAAGGGAAGCCTCTGAAGAAATCAAACTTTTAAGTGCAAGGAAATTTAGTCTACTTATGAATGTCGAGCCAGTTACAAATAAGAGATTGATTTCATTCACATGCTTCAAGGTACTAACAGGGAATATCCAACTGCCCAACATTTTGTGAACTCAGGTGTCCAGAGTATCTCTACTGCAGTTTATATTTAAAAGAAAATAATTCTTACAGTAGTTAGTGTTAACTTAAAGTCAATTGGTATATTTTATTTATAAATAAAGTTCAAGTATGCATCCGCCCAGTGAATACAGTTAGTCATCCACCAATTCTTGGCTGAACATAGAATTCTTACTTAATTCAAGTGTAGTCTATTGTTTAAATAAGGCCACTTGTAGATTGAGAGGTTAGTAACTTTGTATAATAACTCGAGTTCTTCAAGGTGCATCCCCCTACATGCACTTCACTTCAGGTACATCTCTGACATTTTCAGTAGCAGTGCTTGTTCAGCACACGCATGTGGCTCCAGACAACCTCATGTCCCGTATCAAGAATACGGGAAGCAGTGCAGGCAAATAGCCCTCAGTTCCTTTGCTACCACCAAAAGACAGACTGCAAAGCAGAGGGGGAAAAGGGCAAACAATAGAGTACCTATCAAGACATTTCTAAGTGCTTTAATTAACTCTGTCATTGTGGGGCAGGCAAATACTGAAACACCCCCACATCCCCGGTAAATGGAAAGTTGTGATTACTACCAGATCTTTAACAGAACTCAAGCTAAGGTCTGACCTCGTTAATTCCAAAAGATTATCAAGAATAGCAAAGAGGAGAATGGGTAGGAAAAACTGCCAGTGAAAACACCAGTGATGAAATCTCTACTTTTCAAAGTAGCTAGCTCTGCTCCAGATCTTTCTGCTGTTTAATAGGACCTGTTGTACCTCTGTCGAGTATTCACTATTCCCCAAGAACCATCGAGGAGTCAAGCTCTGAGAGGAAGAGTGCCCAGAACTGTGGGATAACAAATGAGGAATGACTGGAAGGAGAAAAGAGAGACAAAGTGAGACAAATCAATTAACGTCTCTTGGCCAAGTTCGTGCAATTAGGACAACCCTGGCTTTGTCGTGCTTGATCTTGTTCAGCACCTTCAGAGGCAGTAGTGTCGATAAATATGCAGAGAGAAGGCCCTTTGTCCAATAGGTGAGAAATGCACTCCTACAACCTGATGATCTCCTCCTCTCCCCACCCACCCTACACAGAGCAGAATTTCACACTATTTTCACAGCGGTTGCAAAGAGGTCCACTTCCAAGAATCACCACGTTATGAAAATATGTTTGAGTCGGAGAGTCGCACCCCCACCTTCAAACCTGGGAGAAGTGCCTGCTCAGGTTGCTGGCTCTGGTGTTTTGTACACCTGAAAGGTAAAAGGGTGAGATGAGCATGTTCTTCATTGTACACCAGTTCCATAACTTCACTGGTTCAGCACAAAGGGATGCTCAGCACAGCATCTCGCCCCTCACTTCATGGCTTATATAATACCACCAATGCTACATTGTCTGTCATGACTGTGACAGACTGGTTCTTGAGGAAGGAAGTAAGGTGTATTCAGGCATTCCTGACTGCTCTTAATTCCAGGAAGTTGATATGGAGACAAGTGCTGGGCACACCATTTGTGCTGAGCAGTGTCCCCCCCATATGTGCTCCCCATCTCATGAGGAATAATCTGAAGTTACAGTAATGGCAGGAGGTTGGGTGAAGGGAACTCCTGCACATACTTTGGACACGTCCTTCCACCAACCGAGTCAACCCAATACTCAATGAGGGACAGATACGATCTTGTTTAGACTGTGCTTGTTCTGAGCCATCCCTGGAAGCAGAAACGATGTAACTTGGCATGCTGCGTCACAAAAGGTACACACTGCCATGTGTCTTAACAAATGTCTTAACCAGACAATTTCTTGACAGTCTGTGGACTTAATTCAAATAAGTGTGGTTTGTTAGTATCAAATCTGTACCTGGTATGGTAAGCTTTGGCTTTTATGGCACCCAGAGAAAATCCTATGAATCCAGTTGCAGTGGGGTTAAAGTGGATTTTTTTTTGGTGGTGGTTTAGCTCAACTCCTAACATGTGGAAAAGGGACACAGCTGTTTTTACTATAGAGACAACTTTGCTGTAAGAGTGGCCACTGAACAGACAACAATGAAGGAATGGAAAGAACCATCCCAGGTCAATGAAGTAGTAGCTACTACTACCAGGGCCTTCAAGAATACCCTCCGAGCAGAAGAAACTGATGGGAAGCACAATACTGCAAGTGATCCTGGTTGACTATTAAACAAAGAGAACATCCCGTGGGAGGGGTAAGTCACGATGCAAAAATACTCATCCTCAAGAACAAACCTAAAAACCAATCCCTAGAATACAGCAATGGAAAAATACCAGCAAGTGTCACCATCCTGAATTTCTGCATTTGCACGAAGGTGTTTAAGGGCTGGAGATCGAAATAAATTACTCTCCATCCAGAGGGTTTTTTTGGACCAGAATCCCTTCCCTCTGTGCTCGACTCAAACAGCTTCTATAACCCCTACACATGACAGAAATGACTTCTAGTCTCAGCAAACACGCATGAGATGGGTCCCTGCAAAGGAACAAGGAAGGAGGGTAAGCTGGGGAGATGGAGATTAAATGTACGGAATAACCTGAGGTTATAAACTCCAAATCCATTTCTCAACAACCAAGCCATTAGGCAGAGGTATGTAAACAGATATTGAGTTATTGGCTAAACGTAATAATTTTAATCTGCACATTTATATATGTAGGTGATATCGTCGTTGGGGTTGATTGGAACCTTCCAAGACCATCTAGCAAAGTCTCATTTACTCGCAATGCCACTTGATAGAAGGCTGTTATGTGTGGAATGTCTAACAGCTTACGATGGGACTCTTCAACCTACTCCAAGTAGATCTCGACTTAGGCAATTCGTTTCATTAGCTCTTGAAATAGTTTGGCACAGTCTGTCAGAGAAGTTGGAGGAGGCATCACAGCCTCATCTGGTGAAGATAAGGAGATATTAGTTAGCAGAGTGTCCTCCCTGTCTGCTTCTGCCCTCAAAAAGACTCTTCCTGTGCTTGAGGCAGAAAAGATGGAACAGGAAAGCATTTCCCTTGGTGATCCCCACGAGAAAGGCAAGGAGCTCTTGAAAACTGTTGATGACATGGATCCCAGAGAACGCACTTTTCATTTTATCACTGAAAAGATCAGCTTATTCTAAAGGGAGGTCCTTGATGGTGTTTTGGACCTCCCTCGAGAAACCAGAAGAGTGAAGCCACGAGTCCCTATGCATCATGAGTCCTGTGGCAAAGGAGTGGGTACTTCTGAGGGCACTGTGTGCCAAAAAATTAAAAGTTCTGCACACAGTATTTTAAAATTCTGCAAGTTTTATTTGTCAATAAATAAATGCAGGGGATCCAGCAGAGCAGTGGGGAGCTTGGGGCAATGGCTGCATAAAGGTAGATCACTTTGCAGCTCCCCCACCCTCCAGACACAGACTCAGTGGTGAGGTTACACCTGACCCTGACACAGCACAAGGCCTGGGCTTCCCCAGAAACACCCTGGGACCCTGCCTGTCTCCCCACTGTGAGGCAGGTGTCTCCAGATGCAGGGGTTGAGAAAGTCCGGCACGGTGGGGTTTGCGTATGGAGAGCTAGGGGGTTCTGGGTGTACTAGTGAGGCTTAAAGGGGGTGTCTGGGTATGTGAGGTCTGGATGGACGGATGGGTGAGCAGCTCCCTGTAGTGACCTCTCCCCTCACAGTTGAGGAGTGATGGGGGTAGGAAGCAGGGGAGGATGCTGAGCTTCCGGTAGCTGGGGGGAGGTTTCTGGGGGTGGATCTGAGACAGCTCCAGCCACTCCTTGCAGGGGAAGAGAAAGTCCCGTCCTCTCACAGAAGAGGATGCAGTGTCAGCTGGAGGACCAACTTTGCCACTAATTTTCCTTCATTTACTAAGGCCTAGAGCTGGGCCTTGTCATCTGCAGGGTACTTGTACTTAAGCTCTGCCAGCCTACTGTATGTGGTGAAGTTGTACTGCAGGTGCTGACATGCTGTGAATTAGAAGACAGGTGTGTGAATAGGTAATCGGTCTTTCTAGACGGCATAAAGTACTGTCTCTCAGCTCTTTTCCGGGTGGGGACACAATGTTGGTGTGCGCCAAACCATCTGGGCTGGTTCCAGCATGGCCTTGTTTATAGGAAGGGCCACATGCACTCTCCCTGTGGCTGAAGGATGTCCAGGAGACTACGTTGGGGGTTCTGGAATTCCTCCAGTGGAATTTTTAAGTTGGTAGCCACTCTCTGCAAAAGTTCTTGGTACTGCCGGTGGTCATCTGGTGGAGAGAGCAGCAAAAGGATGACCACCTCATCTGGTGACAAGGAGGCTCAATTTGGAACTGGTGGTACTGATTACCCATCTTCCTCCTCGTATACCAACAGAGCTGGTTGGCAGGAGCGAAAGGATCCTTGCAATGGCGCTGGATGTCTGTGGTACAGGTCACATGGGCTCCGGTAGGGTCAGAATGAGGGGTCCATCCATCTGGGAGAGCCCACAGGGAAGCGGTACCAGGCTTCTCGGGAGGCAGGGGAAGGGGGAGGAGAGGAGAATGTCATAGCCAGGCAGATCAGGGTGCTTCAGCTGCATGTCCACGCTCCGACACAGCAGTGGAGATGTTGATGGGGCTACATCCTGAGACTTCTGAGATGGATAATGGTTCTGTCAGAAACGGCAGGACTGTCAGTACCAGAGGGCTCGGTCCAATGGACGGGAAAGGGGCCTCTCCCACAGCAGGAACAGCAGTTCATCCTCAGGTGTGGGGACATCCCAGAAAATGGACGGGCCCATGAGGAGTGAACACTGCACGTACAGCAGGAATACCTCCTGTGGCATTAGGAAAGTCTCTACATCCGGAGTCCACGGGTGCCCATTGAGATTCCAAAGGGACCTGGTTCGGCACGCTGGTGAGGCAGCACTGATGCACCATCCAGAGCTCTGCTTGTAGACTGATGCTCTAAGTGTCCCAGTACCAAGGTCACCACTGGTACCAACAGATCCTGCTTCTTCTTCGCTTTACCCTCCGGCCGGGGGGGGGCCTTCAGCATTGGCTCCGCTGGATCCAAGTGCTGCATCTCACCTGACCTAGTACAGGTAGGGGAGGGAACTAATCTCTTATCAGCAGTCCACTGGGTGCTATTATGCCCGTGAGTTTTTCTTATTCTTGTGGTGGGGATTGTCCCTAGGCTTCAGTACCAGCAGCTCCACACAATGGCTCATGCTCAGAGGGGCACTACATATCAGTAGAGGCCATTGTACAGGGCAGTCTCCTTGGCCAGGATCTGAGTGCACCGAGGCCTCATTACCTCTTCTATACGGAACCTGCAGAGATGGGGCTCACGGGCTACTCTAGTTCTGGGCAGGAAGGCCTTTCAGATGCTGCACTTCACTGAAATGTGTGCCTCAACCAGACAGTACAGGCACTATTGATACTCATCGCTAATGGAAAATTAATGAGCCTGAGACAGTTCTTGAAGCCTGGGATCCTTGGCATAGTCCCAGGTGACAAGGGATTGTGTCCCTTAACCAGGGAGGATGTTTATGATACTAAACTACACTATGAAAATGACAAAACGTTATTTACACATGTGCACCCACATGTGGAATATACACAGGGATCATCACTCGAAGAAATTGTTGCTTTTCTGGGTCTGAAACAGCACATTTCCAGAAAAGTGAACACCTTTGATAATACATCTTTCTCTATCTTCCATGTGCTTGCATCTGAACAGCAATACCTTCCATCACAGAAATTAAAGAGATGAAGAAAAGCTACGAGACAACACAACCATGAACAGAATTACTCAAAGAAGTAAATATATACGAAATGTATATGGAATTTATTGTTCACTGAGCTCAAATAGAGGCCATATATATCTTTTTTACAAGACAAAAGCTTTCCTTTTATATTTATCACTTATTTTCTAAAATCCCTTACAGTTTTAACAGCTTTTAAGCTTTCTGATCCATTGAATACTACTAGATTTGTGACATCTTTTTTCTTAACGGGACTAAATAGCTCAAGTCAAAACTCAATGATTTGGTAAAATCCAGTTCAAGTGAGGCAACTAACATTTCAAGTAGACAAAACACTTTTGAGGCAGAGGTTTCCTTGAGAAAAGTATCAAAATTGAAGCTAGGAACCATCCTGCTCAAGATGAAGCCTACAGGAAACCTGAGGAAGAAAAGAAAGCATGGGGGAGACTTAAACACCTAATTCTTGAGAGAGGGGCTTGAGGGGCTTACAGTGCAATTTATCCAACTCACCTAACAGATAATAGCAACAAAGCACTATAAATTAAGGCTTAGACAGTAATAGACTATTCTGCAGTCCACACGGACAAGGGGAGGAAGGAACAGATCTCAGTAATACATCAAGACTTGATAAGACACTGCATTCCTGATGAACGGATGGTAAATATTGATAACTCATTTTAACACTTTCCCAGGTTAAGAGCAGCAGCAAAACAAATTAGCACTTGAGAGAGTCAAGTACTTATCATAGCCTGTTTGGAAACTGAAGTAGGATTCCTGATTTAAGATAGGACTTTGGAGAAGATTCCTTTTTCTGACAACACATGGTCATACTTTAACTCCACCAATATTTAAGGACATCTCGCTTTACTGCTCAACTCAAAGGTTCCCAAGTTCACACCTCTCAAAAACCTTCCCCTTTGACTACAGATTAAAGTCAAAATGTAGCATGACCTGTGTCAGGTCTAAACTCAAAATGTGTATTGTTCTTTGTGTTACTATAGTCCTGGAGACTTTCTACCCACACAACATCTGTCTCATGGGTATTCCACAATGCACCATCTAAGCCACAATCATGGCCTTGTCTGTCCTTACAATGACAGTCTGAAGGGCAGAGGCCTTCCTGATTGCCCTTACGACAAACAATTGCTTCATATCCAACTATTTTTCAAGGTGCCCCATTCTTAAACTCACCCACAGAGGTCTACAGTTGACAAGCAATTCTTTTGTGCCTTACTTAACATGGAACGCTTTACTCATTCAGCCTTTTACATTAATTCTTTACTGAAGAAAAATAACTGAGGAACTAGAAACATGTTGCTTCAAATCCAAGCTGTAGAAAGTAGCAACCCACAAAGAAAATAGTCCATATTTCACAGAAACAGTTCTAGGACTTACTGTGCTAGAGTAACTGGGAGACAAATATCAACTCAAAAAAATTCATTCTAGAGCTATGTTACAGTCATTGCCACACCAAACATGTCCCTGTGTATTAAAACTAACATTATTGCTTAAAATGTTTAAAGATGATCTATTATTCAGCTATTTTCAGGAATTTCTCCATCATGAAATATTTTTATTTTGCTTAAGTACAGCTGGTCTTTTTTTTACAAAAAAGCTGTTACAGCCAAGAGCAAAATTACTTACAGAATGGAAACAATGCATCATTTCACCTCATATTGGTGAGGGTTTGTCTACACTTTTTTCTTCCATGCATGTATCTCTAGTCATTAGAGTTTTAGCTAAAATTACTAATTTATAAGTAAACTAAACTCATTTTAACCATTGTTAATGGCATTAATATCAAAGAGAAAACATAAGAATATGGATTAGTAAGATAAGGCCCCAGTTAAGTTTTTACTTCAACCATCTTAAATAACCAATTTTTTGGAAAAAATGAATTGCTTCATATTTGCTGGATTACCCTCCCTAATCTTTTAATGAGCCCTTACATTTCTTTTTAAAACAGTACACAGCAATTTACTTATTTCACCATCAAAAGCCTTTCTATAGTCATTTACACTCATCAGATCAATACACCTGAAACATCCTTAACAGAGCTCCTTTAAATTACATATTGATGTTTCCATGTAAGTCAACAGCTACATTATTTATTCAAAATTTCAGAACAAGCTTTGTTAAGTTGCTTTTTGCCTTTAGTTGAATTGTTTCTAAAATTTGAGAAGAAAGTTTATAAATAAAAATGCTTGAAATTTTTCCCATTCATGTGCAGTTTATTTTAAACATGCTAGAATGTGAAAGATTATTTTTAATTAACTGCACTATTTTAGCACATATTTGTCAAACATTTGAAGTAGCAACAATTTCATCTCAGCCTATTGTGACCCAACAAAGAATCTCTTCACTCAGCAAGCACTGTCCAGTATATTAATTCCATCACCCAATGTTTATTTTCTCCTTCTTGCACTTAAGGCCCAACCATATTACCTACTTTAAAAAAAAAAGTGCACAAACTATTCTCATCTTTTGGATTATTTGACAGAGTGCCTGGATCTTCTGATTTAAAATATGTAAGTCCTCCCCGAATCACTAAGAATGACTTTGAATCAAAAGGCTTGTAGTCCTCTTGTGGATGTGGCTACGTCGGCCAAAAAAAGTCACGAATCAACCAATACTGCATTATAACACCTGCTCTGTGCTGTCTTCTAAGTCAGCCAAGAGGATTGTTAAAATAAACTTGAGTCAGAAGAATAAGTTATATACTTCTGTAAGTCACAGCATTAAGAAACTCGATCACTTCCTTACGAAGCTGAAGCCCGCTAACAATATTTGAAACATTTGTCAAACCCCACTACTGAACTTTCAGTACACAGTAGGAAGGTAAACACAGCCAATCATTATGTGGCAAGATACTGTGCTGTAGATTCAGACCCCAGCTTGCCACACATGATGTTTCCATGTAGCCAAGTCCTATGAAGTTTGTTTAGTTTTTTGTGGGTGCTTTTGGGGGTAAAGAAATCAAATATAAAATTAAGAAGCAAACATACCCAATACAGTTACAGTTGTTGATGACTGAGCATTTCCTAGTGGGAATGTAACTGCTTTGCATACATATTCTCCTGAATCAGAGAAGCTTATATTGTTTAGGGTGATAGTTGCATCAGTAAGTGAGTAGTTCTTAAATGACACTCTTCCTTGGTATTCTCCTTGAACAGAAAACCCATATTCAGGATGATGAACAGCAATGGTCTGTTTACTTTTACCATGTATCTTCTCCCATGAGATTTGTGTTATTGTTCCATTTATTTCAATTATGCATTTCAGGGTGACATTGTTCCCCCAAACTGCTGTTACATGTGGATCAACAACTGGTCCAGCCAAGGCACCTAAAAACAAAGAAATGTTGTTAGTTGAGAGAGGGGTCCAAACCACTAAGTTAAGAACCATATTCCAAGATAGTTTTCAATAGGGAAGGTGGGACCTTGAGCTGAACTTCACCATAGTTCAGGGTGTTGGGATCCAAAGTTTTATTTGGGCTCAGTGCACAAACCAGACTCACGAAGTTAATTTTCTCCTACTGATTACTACCTTCCTACCACACATTAAATCTTTGAGAGTAAATTGACTATACAAAGGTACTACTGCTGTTTCTTCTGGCCATTTGGTTTAACTGTATCATGTCCTATTAGGGAGCCAGAGTAAGATTCCCTAAATCACCAAAAAAAAAAAAAATCTTCCCAAACAAACAAAAAATCTGCAAAAACAAACCACATGTGCAGTACTGAAGGATTGTAGGTGAGTCACAGAAAGTTTAACTGTTTAATACAGTGGTCTCCAAAGTGGGGTGCGCGCACCCCAGGGTGTGCAAGAGGATCCTGCAGGGTGCGCGGCAGGAGGGGCACCATACAGGCAGTTAAAATACTGTCCTTTCACAGACTGCACTGTGGTTTGGAAATTCTTAAGCTGTGATTCTCCATGCTAAACTTTTTCTTTCATAATAAAATTGAACAGTTAGCTGTTATCTTTCAGCTCACCACCCTGTCATAATTACACGGCAGAAGACTTTTTTCTTCTTACCCTTCGTGTGCATGGAAAGTAGCACGATCAAGGAAATGTGAAGCTGCCACTTTGGTTCTTCCAGCCAACCCATTGCTGTAGGAGAGTAGTGATTCTGATTTGCCTGTGATCTTCTCTTTCTTTTTCTTTTTTTATTTCACTGATTACAAGTCCTGCGCTTCGCCTCTGTCAGATCCTCAGACAAGTCTGCCAGCAAGCCTGAGAGGAGAAAGTGAAAGACAAGCCTGTTACAAACTGGTTCTGTCACCACATAGACCTCAATTGTTCACCTCGTGGGGAGGACAGCAAAAGGGCAGCAAGGATCCCAAGCTGGAGGGGATTCCTGAGACAGGAGCATGGACTGACTGCCCACACCGGGATTTGTGTAAACTTAGAAGCTGCCCCCACTCTCAGTTCCTTCTTGCCGGAAACTCCAACAGTAGGGATGGAGGGTGGGTCATGGAATGGACATGAGCAACACATCTCGAAGAACACCAGTTACGGAACAGTTAACTGTCTTTTCTTCTTCGAGTGCTTGCTCATGTCCATTCCACATTCGGTGACTCCCAGCAGTTCCTGTGGAGGCGGGTAGGAGTGCACAGATGCACATATTGTAATACAGCTTTGCCAAGCCTCTGGACGTCCAGCCTTGCATGGCTTGGGACAGAACACAGGTAGGAATACGTCCTGGCTCATGTGGAGTGGAAGGAAGATACCACCTTTGGTAGGAAGGCTGGGTGGGGCCACAGCTGGACCTTGTCCTTATAAAACACTCACTTCACAAGAACTCTAGTTCATACGCACAAAGCCTAAGCAACGCTAGTAAGAGCAGCAAACATTCCATGCACCACCACTGACTGCAAGAAGGAACAGAGGGTGGGGGGAGTCGGCAGCACCCCCTATACCGTGCCATGTGGGCGCTACTCCAGAGGGCGCCGGAGCAGCTCCCCGATCCCAGGGCCGCCCAAGCAGCCGGCTCCGGGGCCAGCTGCTCAGGTGGCCCCCAAGGCAGCCACACGGGCCGCTGCTGGAGTGGCCCTGGGCACAGTCACACCAGCCGCTTCTCTGGCGGCCCCCGGCAGTGGTCCCGGGGTGGCCGGAGCAGCCGTGGTCCACTGACCCAGGCAGCGGTCCCTGGGCGGCCAGAGCAGCCGCAGCCTCTGGCAGCTGGTGCTGCTGGCCCCAGGTGCCCCCCCTCCCCATAGCGCCTCCCCCCGGCCCCTCCCCACAGCGGCCCCCTTGTGCCCCCCAGCGTCATCCCCCCAAGATTTAATCACAGGTATTTTTAGTATAAATCATGGACGGGTCAGGGCCCATGAATTTTTGTTTATTGCCTGTGACCTGTCCGTGTCTTCTACTAAAAATACCCGTGACTAAATCATAGCTTTAATAATAATAATCCCATAGGTGAACTGATTGTGATTAGAAAACTGACTGTCTGTCTCAGATGCCAATTCTATCAGGGCACTTCCCTTTTCAGTTTAAGCTGAATAATGTATGTAGGGTCATTACAGAGAATAATATCACAAAAAATCATTTTTGTCGTTTAAGAATCCTGACAAAAATTCCCAATTTGAAGCTCAAACAATCAATAATAAACTTATAGTTCAGGGGGAGATTTTTTTTTAGAGCTAGGGGCCAAATCCTGGGACTTCTCACATCACAAAAGTGAGCAGGATTTAGCTGGCAACCCTTTTTTCCTGTGCATTACCAGGATCCACTCCTCATCTGAACTGCGGCATTTGGCCCTCAGTTGTACACTCATGGATAGTGGCTCTGAGACCAAATGCATCTCTGGTGTAATTCCATTGCAATCAGTGATGTTACACTAGATTAAATTTATCCATGAAGCCTAACTTTTACCTCAGAAGTATCAGTTTAACTCTGTCTCAAGTCAGTGGGGGTTATTTATGGAGTTCTAAGGATATGGTAAAAAAAACTGTGTCACTGAGAGATGAAAATAACCGCTGTGAAACATATTAGTCACTGGAATGCATTTTGATCATAGAGGGTAGAAAAAAAGTGTTCCACGGTCCTCTCTCCCCTTACCTCCCATCCGCACATACATACCACTGTTGCTTAAGTTTAGAGTCCACACTACAATACATGTATTTGTAAACAGCTGAGCATTTGCAACATAAAACAGACAGAATATCACTGGTAGTCCTAGACACCTCATGAGTCACACAGGTAAACTTGAGGAAATATTCTGTAGTGTACATCTATCTCCCTTGAACCTTTGTAGTGAATATCTGATTATGTAAATTGTGTTGACCCATACGTGGGGTTGTGAAGGAATTTCCCCCCTGCTTAGATAGGCAAACACCTTTGGAGCTTTTCACCTTCCTCTGCAGCATGTGTCCCTTGCTGATTTGAACTAGTAAATGGTAGTTCTTCTTCGAGTGCTTGCTCATGACCATTGCACATTATGTGTACACTTGGCACCTCACAAGCAGTGTTTGGTCACATTTTTAATTTAATATCAAATCTCACTGTATTTTTAGCACAATAAAACTTTTAGCAACTTCATTGGTGTAGTCAACTGTATAATGTGCCTTTAAAATGTAATACATTTGCTTATTTTCAAAACTATTTTAATTAATTAATTTGATCATTAATTATCGTTAAAAGCAATTTCCTTTGATTACCTTAGCTCCATTTTTATATAACCACAAACCCCTAATTAATTTGCACTCTGACATGTGAATGTCATCCAAGAAGAGCATGATTTCTCTCATGATTTCCTGTAAAATCAACGAGAAACCTACATGAAGGCCTTTGATTTACTTCAAAGCACAGACACTCTACTGAACCTAACTACAGATTTGCTTCAGAGACGGGATATCCACTGACCATGTAGCGAAACAAACAGCAATAACAAAGTCACAAAGGCCTCTAAGTGACTACTTTCCTTTGTATGATGTATCATTTGCAATACCTTGTTCATGAAGACTTGGCTCTGAAAGGCAACCAAACAAGCAATTTTACACTAAGATCTATCTGAGGGATGAAAACTCCTGTGGGAAACTTTCCATAGAATCTCTGCAGTGCAAAGGATTAATGTCTGAGCTCCCTTATCTAATGCTGTATCATCTAGGCCAACATATTACATATTTGAATATATTTAACCTGTTTGCCTAAAAGTCGGGCACTTCAAACCACATTTAGGCACGTAAATAAGAATGGACTGATTTTCAACCACAAACCCCTTTGAGGTCAGTGAGAATCACAGATACTCAGTACTTACAAAAAGTGACCTGATTTTCAAAGGCGCTAAATGCCCGCAGTTCCCATCAGCTTCAGTGGTAGTTTGTGGATGGAAAGCAGGCCTAATGAAAAAAAAAAAACGCACATACGATATATGTACCAAGGACTCAGGTTCAAAGAAATTTGCCACAATATATCGGTTCAGGGCTTTTTTTTAATTTTGTAGTATTTGGTTTCATCCCTGGGTTTGGGACAATATTAGTTACTCATGTACTGGGAAGTAAAGGGTGCTGAATTTTTTTTAATTTGATGCCTGGGCAACTTTAGCATTCTGGCATTTGCTAACTTCTAAGTATTTGACTTCATAACATTAATGTTCTTTTAACATAGAGGGTTTTTGTAATTTAATAGTATATAGCAAAAATAGTATGTAGAAAATGTAATTAAACACAGAAAATAAAATATTATAACCACATTTTTAAAACTGCAATTTACACAAACATTGCATAATTCTTTATAAGCCTAAAGTTACACACCAATTTGTGTATTTCATTTTATCTGCTCACACAATTAAAAGCAAAACATGATTCTATTAAATAAAAAATGAAAACAAACCAAAAAACCAACCCAAGACAAGAGGGTGGTTTAAATAAGCAGCGTGAAGAGGTATTCAAATGTAGAAGGGCAAATGCAATTCAGTCTGCAAGGGCTCAATTCAATAAAATGATGTCCTGCTTCTCTTTTGTGAAAAATATATGCAAGGCTACAGAGTCCATTTTAAAAATTAAGTGGTGGTGATCTTCCTTGACTTTGTACTTTGAATACCTGGACTTGTGGGTTTTTTTTTTTTTTAGTACGAAATCCTGCTTTTTTCCATATTATGTTCTGGTCTGGGAGATATTTGGGGGCGGTGTGTAGAAGAGGGGGTGGGAGGTATTGGGGAGGTGAGGGTGGAAGGGGGGAGTGGGCGAGGGTAGTTTGGGGGGGCACGGAGTAG